AACTTCACACATCCAGTTGAACAACTTCACACATCCAGTTGAATAACTTCACACATCCAGTTGAACAACTTCACACGTCCAGTTGAACAACTTCACACATCCAGTTGAATAACTTCACACATCCAGTTGAACAACTTCACACGTCCAGTTGAACAACTTCACACATCCAGTTGAATAACTTCACACATCGTGTCGAGTGACCACAACAACAATGTCACGGAAACATCCCAATGATGTTTAAATACTAAAACAATGTTAGGCAATCTACTACTTTTCATTTCGACACAAAAGCAAATGTAATATAGAGCACAGCAAATGACAACTGTATGTACAATACAACAATACCAACTGAATATTCAAATATAATACGAAAACACCAACTATTTGTAAAACACAAAAAATACCAGTTGAATCTACAACACAACAATAGCAATTAAATATACCAGACAAAACAACAACTACAAGCTGAATATACAACAAAAAATACCAGTTGAATTTATAACAGAACATTACAAGCTGAATATTGAACGCCAAATTACCATCTAGACATACAACGTTGCAGAAGTTACATGCGTCAAAAACTATTATCAAAACTTACAACATTACAGACGATACATGTGTTAAAGCTACCATCTAGACATACAAAATTACAGACGATACATGTATTAAAGCTACCATCTAGACATACAAAATTACAGACGATACATGTATTAAAGCTACCATCTAGACATACAAAATTACAGAAGTAACATGTAATAAAACTACCATCTTGACATACAACGTTACAGAAGTCACATGTATTACAGCTACCATCTAGACATACACCATTACAAAAGAAACATTATCAAAACTACCATCTAGACATGCAACATTAACACAACTAGCATGTATTAAAACTAACATCTAAGACATACAACATTACACAAGTAACACGCATCAAAAGGACACAGTTCATCTAGGCTATTGACAAACAAGAAACTCAAGTCTTCAATTTATGAACAGTTTTTATGCAGATATTCCATTTGGTTTTGAATTACATTAGATAAAAAGATAAAATATTCAATGCAGTCATAGATAGAACCATGCAGACGATCAAGATATCTTTTGAAAGTCGTTCATCACGTTTTAAAATAATCACTCCGAACTAGTTTGATCAAGTTCTGAACCTTGCACCATTTGCTCACACGTCTCTGCCTTCTAACAGCTCGACCACTCCAACAGGAAACAGATATGAAATAAAGAACAGCATCAGATTGGTGACGTCATCACCAGAATTATTTGAGAGTTTCAGTTCAACATCATTGTGATCATTGAGTACGTCAGTTGAATGTCATCAGTTGAATGTCATCAGTTGAATGTCATTATTTGGGTGTCATTATTTTAATAGCATGAGTTGAATTTCATTAGTTGGATGTCATGAGTTGAATGTCATTAGTTGCATGTCATGAGTTAAATGTCATTAGTTGCATGTCATGAGTTGAATGTCATTAGTTGCATGTCATGAGTTGAGTGTCATAAGTTGAATTTCAGTAGTTGAATGTCATGAGTTGAGTGTCATGAATTGAATGTCATTAGTTGCATGTCATGATTTGAATATTATCAGTTGAGTGTCTTGAGCTGAATGTCATGAGTTGAGTGTCATAAGTTGAATGTCATTATTTGGGTGTCATTATTTTAATAGCATGAGTTGAATTTCATTAGTTGGATGTCATGAGTTGAATGTCATTAGTTGCATGTCATGAGTTAAATGTCATTAGTTGCATGTCATGAGTTGAATGTTATTAGTTGCATGTCATGAGTTGAGTGTCATGAGTTGAATGTCATAAGTTGCATGTCATCAGTTGAGTGTCATAAGTTGAATTTCAGTAGTTGAATGTTATGAGTTGAGTGTCATGAATTGAATGTCATTAGTTGCATGTCATGATTTGAATATTATCAGTTGAGTGTCTTGAGCTGAATGTCATGAGTTGAGTGTCATAAGTTGAATATCATGAGTTGAGTGTCATAAGTTGAATGTCATTAGTTGAATGTCATGAGTTGAGTGTTATAAATTGAATGTCATTAGTTGCATGCCATGAGTTGAATATTATCAGTAGAGTGTCTTGAGCTGAATGTCATGAGTTGAGTGTCATAAGTTGAATATCATGAGCTGAGTGTCATAAGTTGAATGTCATTAGTTGAATGTCATGAGTTGAGTGTCATGAATTGAATGTCATAAGTTGCATGTCATGAGTTGCATGTCATGAGTTGAATATTATCAGTTGAGTGTCTTGAGTTGAATGTCATGAGTTGAGTGTCATAAGTTGAATATCATGAGTTGAGTGTAATTAGTTGAATGTCATTATTTGAATGTCAATAGTTCAATGTCATGAGTTGCACAGTCTTGGAATGATTAAAATAGAATTTTGAGATTGACATCACTGTTAATTTTACATGCCATTAGAGTTAATTCAGCATGGCATAACTGTTAATTTTACATGTCATTAGAGTTAATTCAGCATGACATTACTGTTAATTTTACATGACATCAGAGTTAATTCAGCATGCCATTAATGTTAAATTCACATGCCATTAGAGTTAAATCAGCATAACATTACTGTTAATTTCACATATCATTAGAGTTAATTCAGCATGACATTACTGTTAATTTTACATGCCATTAGAGTTAATTCAGCATGACATTACTGTTAATTTTACATGCCATTATAGTTAATTCAACATGGCATTACTGTTAACTTTACATATCATTAGAGTTAATTCAGCATGACATTACTGTTAATTTTACATGCCATTAGAGTCAATTCAGCATGACATTACTGTTAAATTCACATGCCATTAGAGTTAATTCAGGATGACTTCACTGTTAATTTCACATGCCATTTGAGTTAATTCAGCATGCCATCACTATTAATTCATCATTACTTTAATGTTTTTCAAAAATGCCATCACTTTTCATTACTTCAACATTGGGTCTAATGAATTCTAGTTTCTTTTAAAAATTCTAAAACCTGACTTTGTAGAGTCACAAAATGTCTCCACTGTGTGTGGATTAATTTCATGGACACTAGAGAACTGGTTTTTGTTCACGGCCTGGAAGAATGGACCTCAAAAATGAAAAAAAATAAATAAATTCAAATGTTCCAGAGATCCCAGTATGAAAGCATGACAGAAGTAACATGTATTACCGCTACCATCCATGAACACTAACACATCTCTGGAGCCATGCGAAGAACAGCATGGACACTAACACATCTGTGGAGCCATGCGAAGAACAGCATGGACACTAACACATCTGTGGAGCCATGCGAAGAACAGCATGGACACTAACATATCGGTGGAGCCTTGGTAAATAATGTAGTGAAACATGATCAATCGGATTTTGCTCAAGACATCGTCTTCCCACAACCTGGGAACTGTACGTCCGAAGGTCACAGTACCTTTGGAATAAATAATCTCACGAACTTGTGGTAAGTAGCATCACTGAATATTCAGTGTTTCTGTCTTTCACAAAAACATTTGAAATGAATTAATGAAAAGTTCGGAGACTAACTGAATTTTTCCAATGGCCATAAACCTTCCATTGAGTTTCAGAATCATGTGATCCAGCATAACCGTTACCTGAGGTCAAGTTAACTCTATACCAGGCAAGTTCTTACAGTTCTTACAGAATTAGGCAAGGATGAACTCTTCGGAGCGCTATTGATTTCTTTGTATCACCTGGAGACTTGATGACAGACATCACATTGCCAAGGTGCTGTTTTACCAGGAGACTAGATGACATACAACACATTGCCATGGTGCTGTTTTACTTGGAGACTAGATGACATACAACGTATTGTCATTGTGCTGTTTTACCTAGAGACTAGATGACAGACAAGACATTGTCACAATGCATGAAAGCCCGAAATTATGACATGTGCTCGCTGTGTGTGTGTGTGTACTCGTCACAACTGGGTTCGAACGAAATGAAGGAATACGTAACATCCGGTTTAGAAATATCCTCTATCTCATGACGTCATGTCACAATTATTATCAAGCATGAGATAAGCCATTGATAACAAACTTTCACGTGAGAAATGTCTCACCAAGATTGAACAAAGTTCATCATTTTGCCAAGATCACAATTATGGTTATAAATAAATTAAATCAAACGAGTTAAAATGTAAAAAAATAGAGAGTAAAAAGACCTTAGGGAATGTCTACAAGTAAAGCTAAGGAAAGTGACCGTCTTTGCTCAGCATATTGCAGCCCTCTAGAGAAGTAGCAACGATCTAGGCCAGGCGACTCTAGAGAAGTAGCAACGATCTAGGCCAGGCCACTCTAGAGAAGTAGCAACGATCTAGGCCAGGCCACTCTAGAGAAGTAGCAACGATCTAGGCCAGGCCACTCTAGAGAAGTAGCAACGATCTAGGCCAGGCATCTCAGGCAATACTGAACGTACAATGAAAGCAACAGTTTTCGCTAAGATGATGCAAGACAGGATGGTATTTAATATGAAAAAATTTGAGCATTTGAAGCGGGTGACATCATGACAAAATGACATAACATGTCAAAATGACATAACATGTCAAAATGACATAACATGTCAAAATGACATAACATGTCAAAATGACATAACATGTCAAAATGACATAACATGTCAAAATGACATAACATGTCAAAATGACACGAGTAATGAACTATATTAATACATAAAACAGTGATGTCAGATTGAATACTAGTTTTGATACTTGAAACACACGATGGATGTAGGATGACACTGACACACACATGATGACACTGACACGCGTTTGATGACACCGACACATACGTATGATGAGACTGACACGCATTTGATGTCACTGGCACACGTAGGATGACACTGACACGCGCATGATGACACTGACACACGTTTGATGCCAGTGACACACGTGTGACGACACTGACATATGTTTGATGGCACTGACACGTATGGTGAGGGGATGAAAGATGGTGTTGATATGTATCAATTACTTAATTAATCACTCACACCCCACGTCCGTAAAGAACCCTGGATCCCTGTTGAGCCTCAGCATGCTGGAACTATGCTTGTTGACCACCACCAGGCACCGATCCCAGAACCGGTCCTTGTTCTCCTCGACCAGAAACGGCTTGAGGGGGTAGCTGATCTCGTTGCCCATGTACGAGTACGACAGGTACAGGCAGGTGAGCACGTACGCCTGCAGGTCCTGCTCGTGGTGGACGTCGCCCGAGGGCAGGTCCCGCAGGAGCAGGAAGATGAAGACCACATTGGCCGGGTTGATGAAGGCGATGTCCTGCCACCCCTGCAGGAGCAGTGACCTGTCCACGGACCTCAGCCACAAGATGGCGTCGGAAGCTTCAAATCTTTTCAGACGTTTGCACTTCCGTTTCAGAAACTCACCCAGACACTTGAGGAGCTCCGATGTGGATGCTTGGATGACCGTCCTCTTAGGGCTCGGCGGTTTATCCAATTTTTTAATCGAGGTCGTCTTAACAGGAACTGGTGGGTCTTCTGGGGCCGCCTTAAGGTTGTAGCACGAGACCGACTTTTGGAAGTTGTTAAGATTAAAATTTTCGATGTTATAGTTTGTGTCGAATTTCGAGCCATGGAGGAACGCGGAATTCGACAATTTCATCAAATTTTTATCTTTCTTCTTGGGGTTCACGGTGAATTTCTTCCAGCTGAGCGCGCTCAGAAATATCGAGTGGCGCTTAATACTTTTGTCCTTACCATTGGGATTGTTGTTGTTGTTGTTGTTCTTCTGGTTGTTGAGGACCTCGTAGTTGTAGTTGTTCACGTTGATATCCTCGCCCAGTGGCCGGCGCGAAGGCGGTGAAAGCGACAGGACGGTGCCCATGATGATGACAAAATGGCGGAGACCAACTGCGGAAAGTATCGGTATCTGCCGGCCTCTATGACTCACGCGCTCCACAGGCTGGCACCAGCAGGAACAAACACTTGTTTCATTTCACGTACACGAGAAAACACTTTTGAAAAAACAAAAAACACCCTCACCCGTTCCTCGTCTAGGAGACACACACACCATGAAAGTCACCCCACAGTGGTAGATGCACTGAGGCCGATTGAGCATCAGACTTTAAAAAATAAAAGTATGTCCAGACGTTGGTGCCACCTTAAAGACCAGAGGTGTGTACTCGTGGCCTGGCGCGTTTGTGTCGTCACTACCACTTGTGCCATCTCGCAGAATCCCAGCAGCAGCAGCGGACATTAACATATCGAGGGGGGGAATGATGTCATTGCCATGGCGACCGTGGCAGCAGCCAATCGCGTCGCTGCTAGTTGTATCGATCTCCCTCCACAGGTCGATCGTCTCAGAGAGGCCAGGTAATGGAGGAGTTATCGGAGGATGGGATGAGTAAATAGCCACTCCTTCATGAGATCAGGGAGTGGAGACTCCAAATAGCAAGACATGTAACTCAATTTATGAAAACAATTCTAAAAAAAAACACACACTGCTCTCTCCCTTTCAAAGCTCTATTTGTCTTGTCAATCAGTAGCATCGTCAAATGAGGTCACATGATCTAGATAAACCTATGGCTCTTAGAACGTTTTATTTTAGGACGGTATGTTCATTTTTGGCTTTTTAAAGTTGCAAATTAGACTTAAAATTAGAGTTAAAAATTAGCTGGTTGTTAAGCTAAACGAGACGCTGGCGAGAGTGTAGGAATGGACAGGAGGAGGGCTGGGCGAGGTGTGGACATATCTGGTACAGATCGATCAGATGAACCAAGTGCTGGGCTGGGTAGGGAAGCATTCTGTGTTGACGGTGTCCGCGTTAAGGGAAGGGGAGAGCCAAGGTTTGCTGGTGTGCACCTATTTGTGTGTGTGAGTAATAGGTCCTTGTTTTTGTAAGAGATATGTATTTGTGTAGCTGAGTAATAGGTCCTTGTTTATGTAAGAGATATGTATGTGTGTATGGGAGTAATAGGTCCTTGCTTATGTAAGAGATATGTATGTGTGTAGGTGAGTAATAGGTCCTTGTTTATGTAAGAGATATGTATGTGTGTAGGTGAGTAATAGGTACTTATTTATGTAAGAGACATGTATGTGTGTAGGTGAGTAATATTATGTGTGTAGGTGAGTAATATGTATGTGTGTAGGTGAGTAATATGTATTTGTGTACGGTAATAATATGTATGTATGTTGGTGAGTAATATGGGTGTGTGTTGGTGAGTAATATGTATTTGTGTAGGTGAGTAATATGTATGTGTGTTGGTGAGTAATATGTATGTGTGTTGGTGAGTAAAATGTATGTGTGTTGGTGAGTAGTATGTATTTGTGTAAGTGAGTAATATGTATGTGTGTTGGTGAGTAATATGTATGTGTGTAGTTGAGTAATATGTATGTGTGTTGGTGAGTAATATGTATGTGTGTTGGTGAGTAGTATGTATTTGTGTACGTGAGTAATATGTATGTGTGTAGGTTAGTAATATGTATATGGGTAGGTGAGTAATATGTATTTGTATAGGTGAGTAATATGTATGTGTGTTGGTGAGTAATATGTATGTGTGTTGGTGAATAATATGTATGTGTTGGTGAGTAATATGTATGTGTGTAGGTGAGTACTATGAATGTGTGTTGGTGAGTAATATGTATGTGTGTAGGTGAGTAATACGTTGTGTATAGGTGAGTAATATGTGTGTGTGTAGGTGAGTAATATGTATGTGTGTAGGTTAGTAATATGCATGTGTGATGGAGAGTAATATGTATGTGTGTAGGTGAGTAATATGTATGTGTGTACGTGAGTAATATGTATGTGTGTTGGTTAGTAATATGTATGTGTGTAGGTGAGTAATATGTATGTGTGTAGGTGAGTAATATGTATGTGTGTAGGTGAGTAATATGTATGTGTGTAGGTGAGTAATATGCATGTGTGATGGAGAGTAATATGTATGTGTGTAGGTGAGTAATATGTATGTGTGTACGTGAGTAATATGTATGTGTGTAGGTTAGTAATATGTATGTGTGTAGGTGAGTAATATGTATTTGTGTAGGTGAGTACTATGAATGTGTGTTGGTGAGTAACATGTATGTGTGTTGTGAGTAATATGTATGTGTGTAGGTGAGTAATACGTTGTGTATAGGTTAGTAATATGTATGTGTGTAGGTGAGTAATATGTATGTGTGTAGGTGAGTAATATGTATGTGTGTAGGTGAGTAATATGTGAATGATCGTGAGGGAGGATTATGTGAGAGGCAATCAATTATTCCAATATCAACTTTGCTCTTGGTGTGAAAATGTTATAAATAATCTGAATTACAACAATCGATCTGTTTTTCAGTTAAATTTAGTTTTATTATATAAAATTGTACATCAAGGATAGTTATCAGTAGTTGAAATGTTTATATTCTGTTCATCTGCTCACGTTTTAGTTCAAATTCTCAGATGCTTTAGAAAAAACAAAGATGTGGACTTCGTTTTCTTGAAGACGTCCTTTGACACATTACTCTATACGACTGAAGATCTCAGGGTATTCTCAGAGTGGCTCAGAGTGGCCCAGAGTGGCTCAGATAAGCAAGCGCATCCTCTGCCTGACTGATTCTCCGCCTATGTCTCCTCTCAGATCTCCGCACGCACAGCAGTCGGAATCCGGATCTGACGTCAGAGTAAGCAAGCCACACGAAGGGGGTGATGCCAGGTTTGAGCATGGCCACCAACATCACCACAGACCACGTCTTCTCTGACAGACCACATTGACGGAGGCTGGAGGCGTCTCTCTGACAGAAGATCTCCTGCAGAAGGACGATGAAGAATGGGAATTGCAGCATGACGCTGGTCAGGCTGGACAACAGACCCACTCGGACTGATTCTTTGATCAGTTGTCTGGGGAGAAATGGGATTCACTGTCAAAGACCTGTTCATAACTGAGACACACCCTAATGCGGAAGGGAACACATGTGTCTATTTATCTAGAGGAACGAATTTGTCTATTTATCAAACGAGTGACTAATATCATGACTGGTTTTTACAACTTAGCCTTGACACCCATTTAGCGCACTTGACCCCCATTCAGTACAATATGAAGTGTAAGGAATTTCGTAATGAATTCAGGCCTCCATTTAAATCCTTTACTTTAACTTCACTTCTATTCGTGTGTTTCTGTGTAAACTGTAAAATATTCGGACGACTAATTGACCCACTTCCCGTCAACCTATCGAGCTGAAAATTGGCACTTAGACGTTGCCGATGAAAATCTTCAGACACACATCCACAACCAACCCCCAAAATTGCCGATACCTGCGCTAAATGAGATTTTTAAAAAAATACCGCCACATTAAAACATCCTTTGATATCCAAGAATTGTACTCTTACTTGTTACACTTAACACCATCAATTCCTAAGATATTGTTTGCTAAACTGTTTGGTTTGAATATTTCCTTTTGTTTTAAGGAACTAGTTGGTGTAATAAATCGGCGGTGGAAAAGCGGGTGGGGAATTAGAATATCACTAAAGTTCAGGGGCGTGGAAAAAGTGTGTGGTTGCGAGCCTTGTGGGTAGCACTATTTGGGCTTCTTATTAAGTACAATGGAATGCATGTTATGTCAAATTTTCAACCCCACATCCCATTACTCATATTACATTTTATAAAAGATTTATACGAAAAGCTTGGTATTTAGTGGTTGCTTAATTTTACCATTGTCTACCGCTGAAGCATATTTACATAAAGGAACTTGAAACAGAAAGATTTCCACAGAAAGTGGTTATAAGATTAGTCAGATCTCTTTACCGTATTTAATGTAATAAACATTGTTTTAGACTCACTGATAAACATTTTCCACAACATTGTGTCTCTGCATCCAGTTTGTTAGATTACAGATTAGTAAACAATCTAGGAGCGCCGGTTAATGGGGGCTTAACCTAACACAGTGGTTCTTAAATTAATCCATCATAGAACCTGCCCCCCTCAACCCCAAAATTTCCCACATCAGCAATTACCTGTCAGGTTCGGGAACCTCATGCCGGTCTTTGACCGTCACAGGATGCATGACGTAAAAGATGACCATGAAGACAGCCATGACCATCGCCAGGAAGGCAGGGCAGAAGAAACTCACAAAAATCGTAACAGTTTGGAACCTCGGCTTCCATAATATCTGACACGACTGGCTTCCCTGGGGAGAAGACGAGCAGCTTAGGACTAGAGGAACTCAACACTGTGATACAGCGGTGTCATTGGTACTAGAGACAACATGTCCGTGTGAGTAGCACTTGAACACAATCATACAAGCTGACAGACATAATGTCTATGTGTAGCACTTGTAGACAATCATACAAGCTGACAGACATAATGTCTATGTGTAGCACTTGTAGACAATCATACAAGCTGACAGACCGAAGCATAGATTTATTCTTTAGATAGATTAATACTGAACTACATATATAAATGAATTTAATGACATTCAATTTGAAACGGTTACACTCAGGGTAAATATAAAATCAGTAACATACTGACATACAATTTACGGACAAAGCTTTAAATCTCGATTTTTTTATATGAATGAAATCATGTGGTAGCTTTATTTTCATAACGTGGGAAATCCTGTATGTAGGATCAGTTTGATGTAATTGGGAAATCCTGCATGTAGCATTAGCTTGATGTAATTGGGAAATCCTGTATTATAGCATCAGTTTGATATAATTGGGAAATCCTGTATGTAGCATTAGTTTGATATAATTGGGAAATCCTGTATGTAGCAATAGTTTTGAATTAAGAAAGTCTAATGAGTGTATACTTTTTGCTACTTATGATCAGACACCATTACTTTGAAGTGTACGGATGTCATTATTAATGACTAAAGTAGATCAGACAGACACGGTGCTTGACCTGGTTCAGCTTGGCTATTGATCCGTACACGACTAGAGGCGCGACCAGCGCTGCCCCTAGAATCCAGGGGAAGACAACCATGAGAAGGGTCAGACAGTAAATGCAGGAGTTGATCCTTGTGTGGGGAGACAGCAGGTAGTAGAGCCTCTCCACCAACAAGAAGAAGACCGCCAGAGTCGAGACGCAAACCTGGCCGTAGAACGTCGCTTCGTACACTATACACGTGACGGGG